AAAAAACCGGACATTTCTGTTAAGATTCGAAGTTATTAGCATTTAATTGACCAATTTTGGGTTTTTGTACTAAAAATCGTAAAAGTTCCCTTAAAAATCAAAAACGCGCTAGAAAATAAAAATGTTTGTATGAATATGTTCTACATGGGCTAGTGTATCACCCCCTTAAAGGTTTGCTCCCAGCTACCAAACACCCTGTATATTAAGAACCATGAAAAATATGTTTTTGATATTTATATATTCAAGGCTCTTGAGGATAACTCCTTATATTGAAACATTTTTAACATTCTCTCTAATGAACTAGAATAGGTGTTTCCTTAAACTGTGCATAATTGCAAATATGTAACACATTGAAACTGTTGATGTTCATAAGAAAAGATTTATGCTTGATTCAGATGCCAACAGAAGAAACTCTCCATCTTTTTTTAGTAATAGAGTCAATGTTCTTCAATCCCCAATCCATATCATCATGTTAACATTGAACAAGGTAATGAGCTAACTATTACTTCATTTGGTGAATGATCTTTCAAATCTGATGAAGAGTGTGAAACTCTGCCAAACAGTGAAAACCTAATTCTTGTTTGATGACTCACTTCAAAGGATGTATAAATGCATTGGGATGGGCCAATCCTGGTAGACTTTGCCAGGAGTCGAAAACTCTTATCGCAGTCTAAATACTCACTGTTGTTTGGAAAACATAGTGATGCCATAACAGGTTCTGGTTCGATGGAACCGCTTGCAGCACCCTCCCTTGCAAGGTAGTCAGCAACTTTATTACCTTCCTAGGCCACTGTGGTCAGAGATCTAGACTACAGGCAATTTGTCAAGTCTATTAACTGGAATCTATTTTGTTAATTCAATACCAATTTGGGATTGTTCGGTGTGAATTGGAGCCGAATGGTTTCAGACCCGCTTAGCTATATGTTAATATGAGGTTAAGTGCCTTGGAGAATGCCAATCCAGGTAGACTTTGCCAGGAGTCTAAAACTCTTATCGCAGTCCAAGTACTCACAGTTTGTTTGACAAAACATAAAGTGATGCCAATAACAAGTTCTGGTCCGATGGAACCATTTGCAGCACCCTCCCTTACAAAAAAGTCAGCAGCTTTATTACCTTCCAAGGCCACCACAGTCAGATATCTAGACTACAGGCAATTTGTCAAGTCCATTAACTGGAGTTTGTTTTGGCAATGCAATACCAATTTGGAGATTGACAGACAGACAGACAGTTCACTCCGTCAAAAATGACCCATCCGGTACTAAGGAGGTAGTACTCTGAAACCGGTCTGTAGGTGGCATAAAAACCTGCAAACCACAGCCAAAATACCCAAAAAATAACTTTCACCCAGTAAAACAACGACTTGAGAGAAAACAGAAGATCTACTGCAAAAACAGTAGACCTGGCACATCACTGAACATATGATGATTGATTCGCAATGCACTCTAATTGCGTTACGGCTCAGTTCTGGGAAATTTGACCTTTGCTTCTATTATGACAATTTTCATAAAAAAAGTGATCATTTCAATTACAATAATAAATATGCTTTATTGGCTAAAGGGCAATTTTATTGACTGATGTCAAAAGTTTCGATTGTTATTTCGCTATTCCAGGTGAAGACAAATTCAACAAATGAAAAATAATGAAAATTGGTTCATACATTTTCAAGTTATAAATAGTGTAGATGACATGACTTTACAACTCTGTTTTGTATATTAGATGATAATTATTTTTGTAAAATAAAGAAGACGATGACTAATATTACCTACCCTTTTTCCAGAATGGAAGAAAGCTGATGCCAAGATGTGTTCTCCTTCGAGAACTGTTTGCAATACCAAGGTCCAATCATTTAAAATGTACTCTTTAGTCTTGTAGATTTTCACACAACCATTTTCATCTGCGATGAGTAGAAGTTCTCCTGTAAAATCCCACTGGAGAACCGTCACTGGTGACGAATTTCCCAGAACTCTGAAACAATACAATCAATAATTATATGGAGAAGAAAACATGGACTATATTTATTACATATGAACTTGCCAGGGACTATTCAAATCAGCAACATAAACGTTTGAACTCCAGTATAGAGAGTTAGACTCTTCAATGTTACTGTCTGTGCTGAATGCAATAACATTTCGGCTGGATACTGAACATAAAATAGATTTTTCAAGTCTGGAAAAAAGTAATGAATAAAAGAAAACAAATGATATATCATAGCCTTACTTGGTGAATATGTTTTGTTTGTAAGGATTTAAAGACCTACTGGGTTTTTTACTAATAGTGAAAAATGGTCGGTGGTTCAAGCCCTAGTCTAAACGATTGATCTTCACGTGCTATCGTCCAACCCGTGTTAGAAATCACACGTTAAAAGGTAAGACCTCGTTAATCCTTAGCTCGCACAAGTTTCGACTTCTGAGGGTTGTCGTTCGTAGGGGTGCGACAGCTGGTTAACGGAAAAACAGACAGACATATAGAATAAAGAAAATAACTTTTGTCTAATGGTTTGAATAACCTAAACCGATCGTAACAAATGAAAATCTCAGTGGAAATTAGACAAAAGTTACTTTCTTTATATTATATATTTATCCGTGCGTTCCACTAAGCGCTCACAACGATCACGCTCACAACGATCACGCTCACGACCGCAGTTTTTCCTGTTCCACTTGCTTACGGGCGTTACTGTTGTGAACTTAAGTGAACGTTTTGGGCGTTCATGTAAACAGTACAAATGGCGAGGTTGAAAAAATGAAGTTGAAGTTTTAATGAGATTACGTAAACCTTAACAATAAGTTTCAATAATTGAAGTGGAGTGAAAAACAACTTTACAAAATTAAATTCGTGGAAACCGAAAACTCTAAATGTATGCCACTCTTAAATTGACTTCATTTTGTGTAATTATTCCATTGATGATATTACTTGTGAGATTGAATAATGGAATAAGTTGAGAAATTAGAAATGAATTACGAATGACAGTTAACATTGAAGCATATTTCAAAAATTGCGCCGAAATATTCTTAACGTCCACTTCAACCCACTTCTACAGATGGGTTGTTGTGTGCTTGCCGTGAACGAAAGTAATGTCGTCATGAGTGACGTTTTCGAGGCGACCACAACGACCGCGGTCATTATGTGGAACGGTTATAGGAGCATTTTGATCGTTATGAGCGTTTGGTGGAATGCACGGTGTATATCTTGTATAAATCATATGACCTATTCACTTTTGCATTCGAGACGATGTCCGATACAGCGAACGGGACATTCAGTACATTGGCCAGGTGTTTACTGTCATTAATCCAACGCAACAGATCTCGTCCTGAGTTTCAAAAGAAATGCTATGGTTCCATTTAGGTTACGCACCGTGCGTCAAATCGAATGCAACTCATAACATGAAATCATTGATATCATCAGCGAAAGCAATCATAAGGCAAGGCACAAACTGAGACACGTATAGCACGTGTAAGGTGTTTTGAGAACTATGTCAACGAACATACCTAGGTTGTCGAACAACGGACAGACCGAGGTTAACGGCAGTCGAGTAATGGTATGTGGTATGTAGATGATGTATCTTGTTTTATTATATTGAAATAATTTATCTAAATCCATGCTTGTATGATTATTACAAAGAATATAACATAAGGTGACGCAGCACAGCACGTGTTTTTGTAACCTATTGACCTCATTAAGTGATGCGAACCCATGGTTGCCAACTGCGGTAAAATAATGACATTTGCTAATAAATAAATAACCTATCTTTCTGAATTCCTTCTGCATTTTCCTCCACAGAAAGATGCAGAAAATCTTTTAAAAATAAACAAACACACTTGACTTACCTTGATTTCATTTTATTGCATTTTGAAGAATAATTGATTTGGGGAAACAAACGAGTAAATATACAACAACAGGAAAACAAGCAAAAATAAGCACATCTACAACGCTACAAGAACAAAAATGGAAATGCTGAAGGAACTCAGAAAGGTAGGTTATTTATTCATTAGCAAATGTCAAATGTCATTATTTTACCGTAGTTGGCAATCATGGGGTCGCATCACTTAGTAAGGTCAATTCAAACCATTGTATCAGCACAAATTGACCAGTGACGTGACTAGACGTGTCATCTCACACGTGTGACGTTGTGGTTGAGACACAGATTTTCGCATCCCACGTGCCACTTGTGTATCGCCCTTCTCTGTTTTTCGTAGATTTTAATTACTTTCTCGTTTCTCCTCCGTTAAAAAGATGGCAGAAGAGATGTTAATAGAGGCGGTAAGAAAAAACCCGGAGCTTTACGACACAAAACATGCCAGCTATATGAAAACCAAGTTGAAAACCCGGATTTGGCAGGATATTGCGACTGATCTGATTCAGAACTCAAGTTTAACAATAATAAATGTTTGGTTCTTGCATCCGACATTTTCCAATATTTGATTGATTGCGAGATCCTACAAAGTGCACCTCAATATGTAGATCACTGCACAACCCATACGTGTCGTGTCTTGATTTCAACTGCGTCTCAATTTGCCGGATTCCCACGCAGCACGTGTGGCACGCACGTGTTGTGATCCTTATGTCAGGTCACCTGACACATGCTATACGTGTCTCAATTTGCACCTTGCCTAAATGTCAGTATGTGTGTGTGCGAAAAACAGATTTCAAAGGTTAAAGCCGCTCTAGCTCTACCCTTTTTAAATTTAAAAAGGCTTTATGCTGTATTTTCCGTGGCGTTTTTCCATTTTTTTTTGATTTTTTGGCTGTTGTTTGTTTTTTATTTCATTGCAATTTCAGTTTTTTTTGCTTTATGTAATTGTTATTTTTCAGCTAATCTTTTTAATTTTTTCTACAGATTCTTTCAGGTATTTCAAATTTATATCATATTAGATAATGTCCGAACCGATGAAATGCACCACGAAACATCGTCAACTACCTTCAAACTAATACAATTAATCCTAAAATAACTGAATTTTTGACAAAAATCACTTTTTTATATTTTCAATAGGTGATGAAGTTATTGATTTGTTTGAGCAATGATGTAGTACCCTCATGTCTTTCTCTGATGTGAATCGTTGCTTTTTGTCCGATGATATAATTTCGATTTGGATGTCGGATGACAGAGGAACATTCAATATTGGCGACAATGTCTCTAAAAAACTAATACAATACGCTTGTTAAATGTCATGTGTCAACCTAACCTAGAAGTCATTTGAAATTTGAAGCCGTTAATTTTAAATTTAAATATTTAATATTTATTTATGGTATGGTTGTTCCGAAGAAATTACCCTTCAGCTGTATGAATAATACCTGTAAGTAAAGCGATATACACGTAAAAAAAAGGTTGCTAATGACTTCTGTAGATAAAAGTTATTTTTTGTAAATGTCGAATGTACTCAAAAACAATATTTCTCAGTTTTTCAATTCTCATCTCCAGCATGAAATGGAAGGAAGAAAATCAGATTTTGTTAACAAAACAGTGCTGACCACTCCAAAACCAACAGCTTCGTCCACCGTCGATAGAAAATCCTTTCAGAGAAAAGCTCCTGCGAACTCAGATACCAATTTCGAAAACTCCCTTGGGATAATAGATGAACAGAGTCTTCTGGCCGTCAGCTCCCAATTACAACATCAAAGATATTTGGCCAGCAACTCTCTCCAAAGGGCCAACAAAGTGGCAGCAATTCCTTCTAAATACTTGAAACGCAACATCAGTGAATCGGACTCAGTTGCTATTGAATCAAATGAGAGCACAGTGAGCGACAGTGACTTGCTGAAAACACCTGTGAACACGTCAACTCCTCGTAATTCCATTGATCGCTTGAGCCTCGGTCAATCCTTAGCTGAGCTTTCTCTCAAAATAAGCAACAAAGATATTTCTTTGGATAAATTCGTCAGTGATTTCAAACAAGCCATGAAGGGCACTGACTGCGATATACCTAATAGCATGTTCACCCCAGCTGAAGAGGCAGAAAGTATGTTGAGGGCGGACGAGTTATCTTGGAGGCTGAAAAACGATTTACCTGGTCAGGTGAGAAATTTTATTGCCTATTACTTTCACAAATTAACAGGCAAAACTAATTATATGCAGGCCTGGATTATCCATAAGACCAACCTAGAAAGGAGCAGTCTGGTAGAAATGCAAATTTAGGAACAAAATTGAAAAGTTTTTCTATAATTCAGTGTGGAAAACCAAAAATAATGAACAGCTTGTCAAATTTAGAAGTGTCATATGATACAGCTGTAACTATTTTGTTGAATTTTTATTAATATAAATACACATGCACATATCCTTCAGGAAAATGCCATCTATTTGATCAACAGAAAACTTGAACCTTGCTTATCCATGATAAATGAATATTCCCATGATGCAAAACAAAACTTATATATAAAATGCCGAATGAGAAATCAGATTTTTTCTTTCTCTGCAGCTTTCACTGCAATCAAAAAACTAAATAGAACCAGAAACAAAAGACAAAGAATTTGTCATCCAATACTAGAGAACGCTGTTTTATTCTGCCATAGCCCCCGAAAGTAGTGCCATTGCTGGCCTAGGCTATCCATAAAAGGTTGAGCGCCAACTACTCCGATCGGAGTATTTGGGCATCAATCAGCGATGCCACCCACTCCGATCAGAATGTTGTGTATGTCTAACTTGTAAAGATCAGTATTCATTCGGCGTGGGTTAGAGGAAGTTTTAGCTGCACTGGTCTAAAAACATTTGTTGGTTACGCAGTTTCTATTTTTTGTGGTATTAAACACGGACGCCAAACCTGGACATTCTGGATTGCAGAAAAAAGAACATAATTTACATGTGTACAGTAGAAAAGCACTTACAGATGAAGAATTATTGCAGTGTTTAGAAGATAGCAGTGATGATGATATTTGCCAGAGCCCGAAGACGAATATCCCTCCGAATCAGATAGTCATTCAGATGTACTTGTTGATGACCAGTCGTCAGAAATATTCCAGTTTCGGTTGTAAATACCAATTCAGCTTCGACTTATGCACAAATAAAATTCAAGTGGACAAAAACAGATATATTGAAATAGTTAACATTAAAAAAAAATCAAGAGCGATTCCAGGCAGAGGCAGACTTATAGATTATTTCAGACAACGTGAATTGCAAAAAAATAAATAATACGTAACGGAATCCGAGTTAAAAACAGACTTGAGTATAAATAGGCTTGTTGTAAATATTCTTTCACGAAAACCCCTTCTATGGAATCGACGGAGGTATGCTGTAAAGCCAAATTTCATAATAGATCATAGATCCATTGACGAATGTTTTGTTGATTTTTTTTTATTCATCAGTTTTTTTAGGGTTTTCTACATCTTGGGTAAATAATGTTTTATGAGTCAACCAGTTCGCTTCACTTTGATTTTTTCTAAAGGTTGAGTATGTATTATTTATTTCTCCATCCCTTTTTTTAGCTCTTTTTTTCCTTTATGTCATGTCATTGATCATTACTTTCATGTTGATTTATTTTCCATCAGCAGAGCATATCACTGATAGTGTCCGACCTAAAGTTCGGTTTCGGTCGAGTTTCGGCAAAAAAACGGATTTCAGTTTAGTTTCGGTTTCAGCGGCAAACCTGCCGAAAAGCCGAAACTAAATACAACTGAAAGAGTCGACCTTCAATTTTGGAACGGGCACACTTGCACTGATGAGTGGCTAATGAGCCCGAAACCGTAAAATTTCGCAATTTCCCTTGTGAACTCCAGTTGCGTAAGAGTCCTTCCAAATTTCTTGTGGAGTTGCCAAGCATTCTGCACACAGGCATCCATTAGCCACGTAAATATGCTCCACCACCATTTTTTACCCCTCATACCAATGCGGTATAATGATATATTCTCATTCATAAGGTCAACGCCACCCATATAAGAATAATAAGTTCCAGTCACAAATGACCGAGGCACTTGAACTACTTTTTTCTCAACACTTGAATATCGGCGCACAGGTCCTATTGGTTGTACTGGTTGTACTCTGAAACATGTTGATGCCATAGTGACAACTATGCTAGCCCAGCGAACATATGAAATCCCATTTCCGTCATCAAGAATAGATTCAATAGTACCTCTCTATTTTCACGCAGTTCCAGTACCTTGATACTTGATACCCTTCATCTCGCAAATATTTAAGGAGCTTTACGCCTGTAAATAAGTTGTCGAAATAGAGGTTATATGGTTGGAAACCTTTTACTCTTCTATTTTCACCATGGGCGCTGATGCTTTACCGAATAATAATTCATATTCAGGGGAGCGGCGGGGGTTATTTCCCTGATACATTTCAAAGTTGATGAGGTGACCAGAAGCCGTATTCATACACCAGATTTTACAGCCAAAACGAACTGGTTTACCTCGGATAAACTGCTTGAAGCTGTGTTTTCCAAAATATCGAATCATAGATTCGTCATAACATAGATGCTATTCAGGCTCAAAATAAGCTAAAAATCAGTGGACGCATTTTTCACACTTTATCAGACAGATCTGGTTTATTATTATCAGCAAAATGAATGAAACGTGAAATTTGCAAAAATCGGTCCCTGCGCATAGACATGTATTCATTTCTCATGTCATTATTCGAGTCCCAGTAAAACCTGTTTCTTGGTAAATCATTATACCCACTAATAATAAGTATGCCAATGTAGCATTTCATTTCTTCTACAGATACTTTAGTGTCGGAACAGTTTTTCAATAAGCCATACCTAGACCTTTCCTCGATCATCATTTGTATGATGTAGTCATCGATAAACAATTCACAGGACTTGAATGTTGATATGGCTTGAAGTCACATATTGGAAACATTTAGTGATTTGATTGCAAATCACCTTGGACCCAGTCAAAGCCCTCTACTTCAACATTAATTTGTGTTATGGAAGGTACTTGGTTTTGTGATGACGAAGGAGACCTATGTTTTGGTGAAGCATGAAGTGATCCAAGACTTCGCGATACATCATCAGAACTGCACCCACCAACTCTGGTGCTGTCCAGGAGTTTCATTTCGGCTTGAGTTCTAAGTTGTCTGCCAGATAAATTGTCAATAAATCCACTACCATCTCCATCCCCAGAGTCTACGTCTGTCAAAACGTCCGGATCGGGTGGTTTAATAAATATTTCGTCAATATTATCACTATAGGCTATCTCTAGGGCATCTTGAAGTGAGAAACCCTTTCTATAACAAAAAAACAATTTAAAAAAATCGCTAGTGTAACTGCCTAGCGTTACCATACGGTAACAGGCAAATATATACATCTGTAGCTAATATAACATAACTCAAATTTCGATGGAAAAATAACTAATACAATATTTGATATTTCTTCTCATTAGCTAATAAAGTTAGAAACAGTTTTATAAAAAAAAACTCGAACTATATACTTACACGAAGTTTGGCTCTATAGCACTTTTATGCAATAGCAAAAAACAAATGTCGTCTATACCTGTTATGAACTAATCAACACGTAGAACTATTTTTAAGAGACTGACTGCGCCATCTCTCCAACCGGCCAAAAAAATTGAGCCGCTGCACCCTTTACAGGAAGCTTAAACACTTGTGACCATACGGTAACGCTAGGCGTTAATGGGTTTAAGTACGTTGCATTACGCCCTTCTGTTACCAATCATCAACGTTTTTTTTTCTGAAATACTCAAATTATAAATGCAGTGCCAACCCAGTTGGTATAAACACAATTGGGCAAATAACCTCTACCATTGGTGAGTTTCTGAACCTTCCGGAACCAAAGGAATATACAGGACACTGTTTCAGAAGGTCTTCTAATTCTTTGCTTGCAGAATCAGGAACAAATATAACGGATATTAAGAAGCAAGAAGGGTGGAATTCGACCACAGTAGCTGAGGGTTACATTGATCAATCTATTTCTTATAAAAAGGCTATTGCTGAAAGAATAATCCCAACAGCTAGCTCACGCGTTACAGCATCGTCCTCTTCACTTCAAGAATTAAATGTTAATGGCCATGACATTTTCAACTCAGCTAATTCAAATATATTACAAGGCTCTTTAATATCGCTAGGTATTGATATCAGCAGTTGTTCTAATTGTACTTTTAATATTAATGGTCATAAATAATAATAATGTAATTAATGTATACAATAGATTTGTAACAGAATTTAATTGTATCTATATCTATTGTTCATAAAACTTCCTTGAAAATTGAATAATTATGTTTTGTTTATTGCTTTATCGTCGAAAAAATTGTGGTAAAAATACTTTCAACACTAGCGTTGAAAATATTTTTAACTTGCTACTTTGTAAAAATCATCTTTCAATACTCTTGACAACCATTAAAAATGTCACTTTTAATGACAGTTGTACAAAAAACACTTTTCTCTACTCAGTTTGTATTCCAAACATTCGTTATTGAATTAAATCAGATATCATTCACAAAATTTCTACAGAATATACTAAACGACGGAGGATTAGAAAGCAAAAAATTTTCCCAATATTTCATATTTTACCCTTTTTGGTAAATATTATGTTACTATTACAGGTTGAGCAGTTTTCACAGATGGACCTTTCTGGTGGAAAAGTTTCTGTTGGGGAATTTTTTAAGAAAAGGTCAGATACTTTATCGGACTTTTCTGCTGCTAAAAGTCCGGTGAAAACGAAGAAACCTGTCCCACTGATAAATGAGTCGGAGATTTATGAAGAGGATGAAGAAAGTGTTGTGGACGATATAAGTCACAAAAGCCTCAGTATATCTGCTATACAGCAGTTCCTGGCTCAAAGCGAGGACACTCCCAGGCGTGCAGTGGACCAACTTCTAAAGCAAGGCAAAAAATCTGATATATCTCTCAAGTCAGGTGATATTTCAATACCTGTTAGTAAAAACTCTTCCTATACAAGCAGTTGTTCTGATAATGAAGCCATTTTTTGTATAGATGATAAGGAGAATGTTAATACCTTAAACGTCACCCCCAAAGATCCCCATCCCCTCTCCCCTACTTCTCCATCCTCCTCGACAACTTCTTCACGTGCCTCAAGTGCTTTGACATCTTTACAGAACGGAAAACTACCTATCGAAACAACAAAGTGCGATATGATTTGGGGATGCCTGAAGATAGGCAAGTCGGAGACGAAGGACTTTTTGATAAGAAACAGATCTTCAAAGAGGCTGGGATTGAAACTGTCTCTTTCCGGGCAGGAATTCAAGATAAGGAAGGACAACAGATTGGACAGTGAGCCTATTTCCTCTTCAAAAATTATCTTACACCCACACGAGGCAAAAGTGTTATTCGTGTCATTCATCCCCACTAAAGTGGGTGCAGCTGCAGATGAACTGATTTTCACCTCATTGGATCCAAATCTTGTTCAGACCAAGAAACAGTGCATTCGATTGTTTGGGTATGGTGGTACAGGAAAAGTTGAGTTTCGAAATTTGACAAGGGACACCACCGGTAAATTTTGGCTTCCGCTTGGCAAATTGGAAAATCAAAGCGTGATGACGCGGAGTTTCAATGTGCGAGGCAGTGGAGTACTGTCCACCTTTGTTCATATCTCGTTTACCTCTAAAGACTTAGCGAAAGTCAGCATTGTTCCAGATTTTTTCTTGCTGATCCCTAACGAACATAAAGAGGTGGTCGTGAGCTACGAATTTTCATCTGAAGACAACAAGAGTTTGCACAAAGCCCTAGTGAATACCAATATAGTGGAACTAGGCAGTTTGTCAGTGACTTCAGGGACTGAGGTAGATAGAGGGAGACTGAGACGACTCTATAGAAAATGTTGTGAGAGTGGTCTGTCTATAGATCCATTGGCAACTACGTTGAAGAAAGAACTTTTTGGGGAAGTGATGCCTTCAGATTTGGTGAGGCTTAAGGAAAGTTCTGAATATTGGAGGGAGATATTCAAACAGTTTTCTAGAAATGAGATAGTAATCACCATCGAAAGAGACCCAGATCAAACCATCATTCCTCAGTTTTCTGACGAGTCTGGACTGTACCAGTCTTTATGGCAGGACTCCACAGAAATTGTTTCAGACCACACAGTAGTTCAACAGTGTCGATTGGAGCCTCCAACCATTTTCTTGACTCCACCCTCTAAGACAAAGGATTACCTGTTTTTCATTTCAGATAGTAATAAAAAACTGCATTATCAAGTGACTTGTGATCCTAAAGGTCTGGAATTAGAACCTAAAGAAGGCATTATTGTGCCTGGTGAACAGATTGTTATAAGTTTAGCTTACCCAAAAGCTGTTGTGAATGGGAATAAACAATATAAGGTATCCGTTTATGTTGAGAATGATGTTTTTGAGGCCGATGTTAAGGTTATGGTAATTTCAATTGGGAAAAATAAGAATAGTTCCTAACTGGCTTAATATTGGCTAAAGGGGTTGTTTAAGGTGATATTTTATTGTGTACTTACCTGCTTTTTGGGAAGTTTTTATTTGTAATACATAAAAAAAATATATTTTTATAAGTAACATTTCATCTTTTTTAAAAGTCGCAAGGAAAATGGTACCAAATTGAATGTTACTTTTGTATATTGGAAGTGCCGGGGTAATCATCTCAGGTTTTAGCATCTTCTAGGGGTCCAGTGTTTTCTGGAGGCCTGGCCTCTAAAATAAAAGTAAATAAATGGGAGTGTTTGTGCGCCACACTTTCACTTTTCTTTAATTTTATTAAAGGATTCCTCAAAGTAAAAAGATGCGCATGTTATAACCAGCAGTGTGGAATGTGGCCAATAATATGTGTAAAATAACTTTGTCCTTTGTTGATTTTGGCTTTCTGTTATTATATGTGAAGTGTAAGTAGCACGGGTATACAGTTAATATATTTTCCCAACTCTCTCTTTTGACTCTGTGTACCAAGGCAAAAAAATGCTCATTCAAAACATCTTCAATTTTCATCTTGGTGCCTATGCTTGGATAGGACATTTTTCTGTCCTGATTCGAAACTGATGAAATTAAATATGTAAAAAGAAATCGATATTGTAAAAGTTTATAATTCAGAAAAACATTTGGTTATCAAAAAATCATGCAAATTGAATTTCATATAATTATACACCAATATTTCAACAACTCATCGGAAATTGGTGGGATATTGTGAATAATACTAGGATACATCAGAATAGAAACGATGCAGCTCTTGTCAACATAGAATTGATGCACCTGACAATCAAATTTTGAAATTCGATGCTTTGGAGCGATTGGTATAAAATTGACTATCTTACAATGGAAATGATGGAATCTACTAGGTCAGTCATCACTAAAAGACATGAGGAAATATAAGATACTGAGTGAGAGCCGGAAAAATCTTTCGCCCCAGTATTATAGATAAACATTCAATGGTGAACTTATCTGTCTTTCAGACCACGAGGTCAGAATACTCGCCAAAGGTGGAAACGTTGCTATAACTCCAGCCAGAGTACCATACGAGGACATCATTGTAAATGTTAAATCGTACTTTACCTAAGGACAAGACTGAAGAAATCAACATAGAAACTAGAAACGCACGCAAAACCACACGAGTTCAACACAACACGGGAAGATAGAGAGGCGCTGAAAAATCTCAGTAGTGATAATAGTGTCCTAGTTTTGCCTGCGACAAAGGAAATGTCACCGTCGTGATGAACACCAAATATTATAAAGAGAAAATTGCCGCCTTACTGGATCCAAAGACATATAGGAACACTCGGTCGGGACCCAACTGCTGGTATCTCGAGAAGAACGAATCAGCTTGTCCGGTCAAGTGATGAAGATAAAACGAAGGTCCTCCAAAAATTCGAAGCCCTGCCACTATGTCTATATGGCTTAAAGAGAATTTACTACTAAGAACAATTGTTAATGTGATAGATTAATCAATTTATGAACTGGCCAAATACTCTACATCCATACTGCAGCTGCTCACAGGAAGAACATAGCCGGTCTTCAAGGACTCGGAACATTTTATTGAAAAGTTGAGAAAGTCATGAGATCAAGTCCAGGAGACACACTAGTAAAGGTGCGGATAATCGGCGAAGTATTCCCAGCAGACATAACGACTCTGCTAGTTGTTTGTCATCAACGTATTTCCAGTGGGACAGTGTTTTTTATTAATAGAAGGCACTGCAATAAGCAGCCCATTAAGTTCTGTAGTGACAAACTTTTTTATGTAAAAATTCAAACGAGCCCAAGAACAAACGGTCGTGAAATCTTATTTTTGGTTGAGTTACGTCGAGGATACGTTCGTAGCATTTCAGCATGGAGAAAGAAAGCTAAAGGAATCTCTGCCATATCTGAACTCCCTTAAGCCAAAGATCCATTTCACAATGAAACAGGAAACTCTAGGATCTATCGCCTTCTTGGATATGCTAGTGAATCGACATGTGTCATGCAAACATACAGATTCGTGAATAAGAATTTCAGCCATCTACCAACAAAAAAGGAGGAAAAAATAAAACGTTAGTTGAGAGGGCCCGACGCATCCGTAAACCCAAAATCTCCCTTAATCTCCTGAAAAATGCTTTCAAATAGAATAGGTATAGCGAACGCAAATTAGAGCGGACGATACGACCCAGAAGAGAGAACATTGAAGTAACTCCAGCCAGATTCGTTGAAGATGAAGATTTTCTTTCCTACGTTAAAAATGTTTTGGACCGGTTTGGGAAAATTTTGGAGGAACATATTTTTCAACCAATATTCAGGCCAAGTAAAACTATCAGAGAGAGTCTAAGATCGGCCAATATCCCCAGCGAGAATTTAGCAACACCGGGTGTATACCAGAGATTCAATAAAGGCAATGAAGAAACCAGATTGATAGAATTCACTATACACTTGACTTATGATTAACTTTTTCCTTCACTGGAATTTGGAATTGGAGAGTTAAAAAGTTCAGGGATTATCTACACCTGTCATTCCATTACCAGAAATGAAAAAAAAAATAGTAATTCCAAATTTGTGTTAGAAATCAAATTTATTGTGATTTTTTTATATCAAAGAAATTATTTTTTTTATTCATTCAAATAACATGAAAATACATTCCATTTGCTAGCTTTCTCTGCATTTTACAATATAGGTAGGACCCAACTAAGTGTAGGACCCCAGACACCGGGAGTAAAATATATTCATTTGCGCCCCAGACGATGGCCCCTGTGACTGTGACTGTGCGGTGTTGCCAATTATAGAGTAGAGTAGAGTAGAGTTTATTCTCTTGTGTGACAATTAAAAAAATTGTATACAGTCGTCAAAAAAATAGTAATGATACCTTTCCGTTTGAGGAGGTACACTGATATCTTCCTGTAAGGTAACTCTGAATGAATGAAAAAGCATTCCCTCTGACACCATAACTTTCCAATTTCATTAAAAGAATTTCATGTGACACACAATCAAAAGCTTTGGAAAGGTCCAAAAAAGATGCTAGTGTCACATTTCCTTTCTCAAATTCATCTGTGATGTGAATAATCATATCTACAAGTGCAGTTATAGTAGACTTTCCCTTACGAAATCCATGTTGTTTAGGGTTCAGTACATTTTTTCTCTCTAAATAGTTGATCAGTCTGATTTTATAAGCCAATTCAAGCAATTTTGATAGAATAGGAACTAGGGAGATAGGTCGGTAATTACTGATATTATTTTTGTTACCCTTTTTAAAAATCGGTATAACTTTGGAGAGTTTAAGAATCTCTGGAAAAACACCTTCTGCAAAACACCTTCTGCAAAACAGGTATTGATGAAAAACGTTATGGGGCTGATTAATTCGTCTTTTGCAAATTTCAGTGAGTCGCTATTTAGTCCATATATATCTCTTGACTTTGATGTGCTTAATCTGTCAATCAGGGTAATTATCTCTAGTTCTGTTACCCTGATTGACAGATTAAGCATAAACATGGATCGCGAATATATGTGGCTGTGCTCACACTCCAACAGTGTCTTTGAATTATGTCACCATGTATCTTTTAGTTCGGTGTTTTGCATTGTTGTAGAGTTGTATCACATTAGTTGAAGTAACCCGTAGTGTGCTGTTCTTAATTTTTGATGATTTGACCTTTTTTTATGTGAAAACGTGTTGAAAACTGGCTAACAACCATTTTAAACTTTTGCATGAAAAAAAATTGGCTGAAAACATGTAGAAGTGCTTGTGAATGCAGAATCAAGAACTCCATTCAGTTTTTCGACCTCTCAAGGTTCCCAAATTTTTTCACTGAATATATTTTGTTAAACTTTACATATTGTCACACAGATAACACAATCACCTCATCAGGTAATCCATCTTCTCAATCGAATAACTTTAGTGATAAGGACGTTGATCATACCACTCTTCAATTCCATAGAATTTATTTTTTATCACCAATTACGATTTACATCTTCCTAGTTACAAAGGTTGGTGAATGCAAAAGTAATAGCCAAAGAAGAATGATTCTTTCCTGAAAAAAAAATCAGCAGCTCCATCTTTTGACAAATATCTGAAGTGACAATAATTATGAAACATAAGCCTATAAGCCACCACATTATATATAGACTATATACAAAGGCCACCACGTTTGCAACCCAAATTATGGCCAGAAGTATATATAATTCAACATATCACAAAATTTCTTCACAAACTAGTACAGGGAACAAGATTGTTGAAATGGATGTTATGAAAAGATGGGAAACTCATGAGGCTGCAGTGCTTTTTCGGAGATTAGGAAGAAATGGATGATTTTGAAGACTCATAATTAGCAAGAAAGCATGGATACCTCCCCTAACGAAGGTGCCATTGGAGATGTTGCTTACTTATACTCAGTATTGTTCTTTAATAAGGGCAGTTGAAGTCAACAATACAAGTTTGTTTTTAAATTGAACGGAGTCCTCTGATTCATTTTCTGAAGCAGTAGATTATAAGGATTAGTTCTAGTAAAAATTGCTGAAGATTATATGTGGTGGAATTAGCCAATACTTGATGAAAATCCATAACGTATTCAGGTAATACTTTAGCTCGAATGATTTAGAACAAACACTTCAGTAAACCATCAGAAATTTGTAATGTGGCGAATAAATTGATACTTTTCACTGAAAAATGAAATGAGATAGAAACTCCAATAGCTTTATGTCACACTAAGTTGTGGCCAGCTTTGTGGGGGAATTAGTTGCCAGAAGTCCTGGCAAATTTCTTATTCTAACAACTTAATATTCAAATAATTTGAAATATGAATGAAATAATAAAAATAGAAAATATTTTTTCGAATGATTGTCTATAAACTTCTAGACCAGTTATGAGGAAACTGATTTATTCTCATTTCCACAATCCCCAGGGTGTTAGTAAGTACCCCCAAAAATGACGTTAGCATCTGAAATATGGGAGCTGATGCTATTTCGTGGTAGGAAATGTTCTCAAAACACAATGCCAATGTATTTTTCAATCACTTCAAGAAAGAAGATTTAACAACTGAATATCTCGGAATGCAGACATTGAAATGATTTCATTCCGCAGTAATGGATCCACAAAACAAGAACCCTTCATATGAAATGATTGCTTTACTAACTGATATCAGCACGATTTTTGAGCATTATTGTAGATTGTGGAGGAAGGCTCTTCCAAGTGTCGCCCATAAATGTTTTTGAAATTTCATTTATAGTTACTCAGTTATTTAATGTTGTTTTATTTCAATGAAAAAATCACTTGTATTAAAATCGATTTATTTTTAATATAGCACATATAATTACAAAATGCATTTTGTTTAGTGAGGAGTTCATAATAATGACTTAATAATAATAATAACCATGCCAAACATTTCTACAAAACTAAAATGTCAAAAGTAGGCGTTTTGGTAACAAACAATAACATTAAAAAATTGAATCTTACGTCTTAACCATAATTTACAACAAATACATTGTTATTTACACTGTTTTACACAATGACAAAAAATACAAACTAATATAGCACCGTTATTATTCAGAAAGATATATTCAGTGAAACTTAAAATGTGTTATGAGAATGTTATCACTCAAATAATGATTTGTACAGGGTACAATTCCTGCTGGGTATACTATCAAGATAGTCCAGTAAAATGCAGAAAATGCGTTTATACCCAATAGGAATGAGTGCAAGATGATATTTGAACGAAATGAAAGCAAGCAAATGAACACCTTGTATACCATATCGGTCTTCAATGATGTTGGTGAGAATAATGATGTTGTTGAGAATAAGAGTTTAAACTAATAGTACACATAAAGAAACCAATGTCAGCGGCGAAATAATGTGATTCTGAGCATTTCAATTAAAGCCACTTTACAAATTAGAATTTGGATTCGATTTCCTTTTCACTAGGGTTTAAACGTAACGAAAAGAAAAATAAATCTCTTTGATGACAAGCCTTATGGACCCTGTATTGGTTTCACTAATAAATGGGCGATAAATAATCCAAAATTTATAGTTGCAAATTAGTCGAATATCGATGACTGATGTGTGTTTTGGACCAAAATGTTAATGAGTAATACCTAAAAAATATAATGTGGCTATTTTACTTTCATGGTGGGGTTACCCCTCTATTATAACCACTGGGAAAGGGAATTAGTTACTTGTGACTTATTTTCAATGCAATATAAATTCATTAAATGAAACTAATTTTGACAACTTACTTTTTATTTTGATGTTTTTGATGAAAGTATTTTGTGGGATTTCCAAAATTATCACCAACACATAGCCTTTGCAAACCATCGAATCAGTTATTGCTGAGTTATTGATGGTGAGAAAAAAAATCTGAATCTATGCCAAAAACTTTAACACTGTGGAACAGAATATTGTTAACTATTTATAATTTAATATGGTTCAACAAATTGTTTAGAAGCAGCAACTGGACAAAATTAGTATGAAGCAATTAGGGAGATTCAATAGGCTATCCTTTCATCTGTTTCATTTGTTTTTGGCATTCTACATATTCATGAATTGAACAGCCTATACTCACTGAAGAAGGAAATTAGTTTGAAGAACTGAGACTCCAAGCAATCTAAATCAAAATGTATTTATTGAACAAAGAGAACTATAAAAATTGTCATATAAGTGTGAGAAGTGAACACATTTTGAAATAGGATTGCCAATGGACTCTAGTTGTAATAGAAACGCATTAAATTCATTTTTAGTTTATGGTTTGAGTCCCTCAAAAATATCAAAATTCGAATATGTTAGGTTTTTATCGATGCTGTTTTGCAACATAATTATTATTAAGTGTACTTCGTTATATAATAATAATCAGTTATTGAATGAAACCGTTCCAGGGTCCATAACCTCTTCTTACTTTACGACTAAAAACTATGAGGCACATTTTGAATTAGTTACACAAATGATTATCGGTTCATCTCGGACACAATTTAACCAGTAAATGTGAGAGAACGTATTTCGTAACAGATGGCACTAAGTCATTTTTTCGATCAGCGGCGTGACTTTGATCGACAAGGTGTCGCCTTCTTGAATTTTTTTCGTTCGGATGACACCTCAAAAATCGAGCAAAATAAATCATGTCCTAGAATACCGTCGAAGATAGTGTTAACGATGACTATTTGGTGAAGATGTTCGTGAGTATCGAATGGATTAAAAACAAAAAATACCTCGCACCTTGTTTTTTCTCGAGAACAAATTCTGAGTTTGGCAAATCCATCTCCTGAGGGAAACAGCTACAATAATTTTGATTGGTGAAGAGTAGATAGGCAAAAAGTGCAACATAAAATATGTAATAAGAAAAGTAACAGAGAAAGCGAAACCAAAATTCGGAAAGTTGATTGAAGAGAATATTATGAATTCATATTATGACAATATTAGAGAATTAATATATAATATGCCAAAAAAATCTGTAGAGTTGAAAAGGAAGGAACTACGGAAAATGAATTGAAAAATCGAAAATCCAATTTTTGAATGAGAGGAATTCGAAAAAGTGGCAAACAAAAATAAAAAAGTACCAGTGTGTTAAAAATACCGTAAGCTAAACTCCGCCAAGTTGAAAATAAAGAGCATTTATTATTATTATTTAACTGAATGTTTATTGTTATATCTATAGTATACTACAGATCGTTCCTGGTGCGGACGTTGAACAATTGACTTTTATAGGCTAATCTTTGATATATTGCAATTATTGTAATTTTCGTAGGATGCCTATTTTTTTAATAAAATTCAGTCCTTAGATACTACTTGCTGTATGTAGCTTTTTATACGTGAAAAAATATTTGAAATTGGCTGTTTTTTCTTTGAGTTTACATTAGTTCAGATTCGGAGTATATAAAATAAAAGAAAGAAGAGGAAAACAAGGAAAAAGTCAATATTTTGGGGAGTTGAAAAAAAAATTCAACAGAATTTTGATTGGTGAATATTGAAAGAAGCATAAAATTTCAATGATCGAAAAGTTAAAAAAAACTAATTCTCCAGGAAATCTTTGATTTAAATGAACAAAATTATTACTTGTTCAATGATCTGTAATATTCCATCTCAACACACACCACCCCGAGTCGACTTCATATGCGCTATACTCCAGATGGACTTGCCAAGCTCTCGCACTTTCCGCCTCTCCCCAAAGTCACGCAAACGCCACTCGAGTGCCTAACCTACCTAATCTAGCTTCAATCATCACAGTCTCTGTGTGCTACCTGATAACTTGTTCTTCTTCGACATCTTGAACCATCCCGCCGACTTCTCGGGATCCCTCGGCATCGAAACTGACCTCGAGATGTCCCTTCCTTCCTCCCTGAACTTCCTCCCGTTGCTCCCCAGTGATTCGACAGACAGAGACTTGGAGGCGGTTTTCTTCTCGTCTCGGTCTCTGCTGTAGCGGGAATTCTCCCTCGGGAGTCGGTCCTTCTTCTTATACAGCGTCGACGAAGAGCTCTTGGACAGCTCCTCCCTAGACCGCCTCAGGGTTTGCGACCCTAAGTTTTCCTTCGATTTGGACTTCTTCAGCGTCGACTGGTTCTTCCTCGACTCCTGAGCCTTCTTTTTCAGCGTAGAGGAACTGTCCTTGCGGTTGGACGTCGTCTTCGAGGGTTTCTGCTCGTATTTTCCGTTCTTGGTCGGCTTGGGGTACTGCGTGTAGTCGATGTCCATGGTTTCCCGAGCGTGGCGAGGCTTCCACGGGGCCAGCACGGAGAAGGATCTGCTCAGCGTTTTCACCTGGGGCTGCATGCGACTGGAGCCGTTGGAGGCTAATTCTTCGCGGGAGGCTGCTCTGCGGCCGTTACGCAGGTAGCCGGAACGTGGGATGTCTCCCACTGTAACAAGAAGATGTTATGTTAATAATTGGGATGATAACAACAAAAAGCTTTATATAAGTTTTTGTGAAAACTAAACTGTATCTGCAATAATAGGCCAATTATTTTAGCTTGCCTTTGAGATGAGTAAAAAAGAGAAGAGTCACAAAAGATTTTCGAATGTATAGTGCGTCTAATAATAATTATTACTACATAAAATGAAGTCTTATGAATGATACAGAAAAAAAAATGTATTGAATTGGTCCTAGAGTACCCGGCCCAAAAAAAAACTGAAAAATTTTGGAAAAAATGTGTTTGTTTGCCAATATAATCCCCTTGTAGCTTTATACACTTTTCTCAGCGACGTTCGATACCGTTTTTATTATAATAGCCATTAACTACCGATAGACATCACTTCTTCATCGTTGGAAAATCTTTGACCACTGAGCCATTTTTCAAGTATGGGAACAGAAAATAATCTGAAGCAGCTAAATCTGGCGAATGGGGTGCATGAGATATCAATTCAAACTTTGATTCGTTAATTTTGGTCATTGCGAAGAACTGGTAGCGACAGACATGTTTCTGACACCGTTCTATGTCAACTGAAATTCCCTTGAAATCGAACAATCAGCACCTTCAGTATGCTGGTTGTAGCTGGACAAGTGGGCGATGCTACTACCCGTCGCCATCAGACGACGGACAGCGCCGTGCTGTGCTGTGCCGGACAAGTGGGCGACAAGCTCAAGCCTGCTAGCTCAAGCACTCGGGCATTCAGTACCGCTTTACGTATTTTCTTCACCGTTTCTGGAGTCGTCACCTCATTTGATCGACCACTGCGATGCTTTTCTTGGCAGCTCATAAACCCTCAAAAACTCTGTTACCCAATATTTTACTGTTGTAAACGGAGGAGCCGAATCCAGAGTAGAAACCAGTTCAGCTTTCATGTTCGTTGGGTCGAGGCCTTTCAAATAAGAGTATTGTACCACTTAATGATGACCAATTTTTAAATTTCACAAATTCACCGAAAACGTTCGCTATTAATTGCTGCCAAACGAATTCTAAAAAACGCAGCGTCTTCAAACTTGAAACATATGCTTCATAAATAGTGTACTTTCTAATACAGTGATATTTTTCATACAACTACCGCCATCTCTAGGTCAGGTTGGGTACTTCTGGGACTACCTTCATATTGTCTAAAAATCATATGGGATATTTCGGTGATATTCAGTACCTAAGCAGACACAATTGAAGAGGGTTTATATTTTTTAATAAAAAAATTATTGGCTTGGCAACTTCAACAGTGGCATGAATACGGGAATCGACTTCGATATTTTTGAAGAAAACAATTACAGTATCTTATGTTCACTGATGCTTTTTCTGGTGACATATTCTTTCGTTTTAGACCGTATCAACTCAGAGGGGTCTGCATAATATGGAAGCAGGACAATAAATATCAGACAAACTATAGCTTTTAACCCGTAAAACTTTCTGTATATCATCTTTTTCCAATAATGTCGTTCGCGATTTTTTCAGTTGTTTATGGTACGGTGCGTAGTCATTTGCCACAATACCTTTCGAGGAAAACTTATGAATGAGTCTATCCGATAAATATTTCCTTCCTGTAGATGCATATAATGGCAGTTGAATGTGAGTATTATATTTTAATTTTCATTTTATATAGGCATGAGACAGAAATCTATCTTCGTTATCCTCATGAACTGTGATGAGACTTTTGTTGGTTTTTGTAAAGCTTCTCTGCGATGAGTGAATGCAGGTCTTTTCCAAATATATGGTAAGCTGATTTTTTTGTAGATGGTATAACAATAATAACAATAATTTTCATTTGTATAACTAGATGTATTAGGTACAAGTATACAGAATTGCAATGAAATACCGTTGACACTCGATACGTGAATCACTTGTTTAGAGTTATGAATCAAATTCCAGATCGATAATGTTCAGTCAATACAATAAAATATAACATAGTAAAATATATAAAATACGATACAGTTGTTATAGGAAAACATAATTACTACGTATTGTAGAAGATGAGCTAACAACGATCTATTAGTAATTCTTTGTGGATTTTACACGCAAAATTCTCTACAACGTCGAAAAACAATATCTTCTTCGATTTTTATAAAACCTGTTTTCGAGATATGAGAAATAGTTCTTCCCAAACTGTGCTATTAGGAAAGTTAAATAAAAAAACATTTCATTCAGTGCACCTATCAAGGTAAAGATGCGATTGAAATATTCAAATTACAATTATTTATGAAAAGTAGAGGAAGTTTTTAATGCATACTGCCATCAAATCTTGCTTATATTTGGCATGAAATCTTTACGCAAAATTGTAAGGATCTTCAGTTTATGAAAGAGTAAATTCATAGTTTGGAGGCAATTTGCGGAAAACCCAAATAAATACGAAATGTAAGGACTATACTACTTTTTGAATTAATGTACTGAGTGAACAAATAGTGCGTCAGATCTTGAAAAGGACCAAAATTTCCGTAAATGAACATTCATTTCATGACTAGCAATTGAGAGATAATAGCAAACTTGACCCACCCGATATTCACTTCATTTTCTCGATGAAATTCCCACCCACATGTCTATGACATTGAGTTTAATAACCATAAATCAGAAGCGAATTGAATAACACACGTAACCACTAGTTCTAATGTATAACCTTGAAATCCGACCACAATTAGAATGCGCTTGAGCATATGATTTGTTACGCAAAATGTATAAAATAACGAGATGATAGGACGGCAATACTTGATAAAGATTTAAAAACAACTCAAGAAAAAAATAGCCGAAGAAAGAAACGCATCAGGATATGTAAAAAAAGGATATTTGCACTGAAGAACATTATGAATGGGTTTTCAAGAATAGTATTTTTTGCGATTGGTAAATCTTTCCATTTTGCAACATCTACTTCTCAGTATTCTCAGCAAATCGATGAAGGTTCCTTTGACAAGTCGTAAGGAAGCCTTTGACAGACCTTTCACTTCTGACCTTTTTTATTACTTTGCTCGGAAGCCATCTATTTTGCCTAGTTTTTTTCAACTCTCTCGGAAATACTGCAGCCTCATGGATTTCTTGCCATTTTCACACCATTTGTTCACGACACATTCCAGCATTTTGTTTCCACTGTTCGATGTTTGTCGTAATTGTCCAGAAGTATCCAAACCTTACATTTCCAGAATAGTTTTCATATAGAAGGGCAAACTTTATTATAACTGGTATTGAAAAGCTGAAGGCAGCAATAATTGTGATCATAGTTAATATCCCTTGAAGTTATTAGAATTTTTGATGATTTTCTGAAGAGATTTTATTAGAAAGAAAGAGTGAAAAACACATGAAGCCATCATGAAAGATGGAAGAGAAATACAATAATAGAAATATGAATAAGAACTGATCCGAGAACGGAAGGAATAAATTTAATCTGCATTACATTGACACTCAAAAGAATGAATTACATGGAGGCAGAAAAAAACAACTATAGTGTGGAACAATTTGTGTCAAAATTTCTAAAAACCAGCGGCTGACCAAAATATATCTCCAACAAACAAAGATGAATGAAGTGATCGAAAAACAATTTGAAGAAAAATTTCTACTATCACTTTATTCCACTTTTCGAAAACCCATAATATAGTTCCAGGTTAGGATATGACTTTGATCCCATTTTTACTCGTTACATGAATATCATATTCACTGGAAGTTGTTCGCGATTAGGTTGTTTATTTTTTTTGGTTACGTATATAGGAGACATAGGTCAACATATGATCAGTGATTTGTAGACCATATTTTGCTTCAAACTCTACTGTGGATTAGATTACGTGCCTTTTAGATACATTTTGAGATGACACCAACATACTTGCCACTAAATAGTGGTTGGTACAACCTCGAGTCGTGAACACACGCTTGTACAGCTCTGTCATTAGGATTCCGACAACTCAACGACATAGTAGGGACGCTGTTCAGAAACAAATTTTTTGGACACTCCCTTCACCCTTAGTAATAGGATTGATTTTATTCCCTTGGTGTGAGGCAGATGACTTCAATGTAACAATTTGATGGAAAGAAATAGGAAGAGAAAGAAGTAAAGGGAAAGAAGCAATTACTGAAATGCAATAATCAACTCTGTACTGAAAGAAACTGATCAAGAGTGGAAATTACAAATTTCTGTTAATTTATGTCTTGATTAAGTTTATGGTATATCCTGAAATATTTATGGGAAAACTAACCTGTTGCAGCGTGGAGATACACGATACTCCTTTGCGACTGTTGACTGCTATCCCCCTCAGTGGAGCTTTCCACCGAGCTGACCTCGTTTTTCCTTCTTCTCCCCCGATCCTTCTCCTGTCTTGACGGAATCCTTGGAGCCACGTGACTTGGAGACATCGGCGGCTTCAGATTTGTTCTGGACCCCCTCATGTCCCTTTCAGTTTCGGAAATGTTCGTCATCGACTTGTGGCTAGTCTTCCTCTGGATCGGCTCTGGAGTTCTGAGTTCCTCAGATATGTTGTGCAGGTCACGCGTCGACTGACTTCTGGACTTCATGGTAAGGCCGGAGCGGGACTTCATCGCAGATTTGTGGCGAACGCTGTCGTTCGATTCGACGTCGGTATCTCCGAAGAAGCGGAGGTTCTTCGTGGGCGTCGGTTTCGAGGGGAGGTCGTCTTCCGTACCGCTGGTGAAGTTACCTTCCTTTTCTCCCTGAAAAATAAATATCACTGCGAATTGAAAAACTAGCGCTTTCAAAATTTTGAATACGAAAGTCTATGTAGATAGACTATAAAGTATACAGGAGTTAGAAAATCGAATTTGGGTTGAAATGATAAGAATAACTTCAAAAGTTATTCACAAAGTGCAAAAAGAATGTGATTGTAAAGTTCCCTTTTGTCAAGTGACTGGTGGCTGGAATCTTGAACAGACAGATTCATCATGTAGAAAAAAACCTTTATTTTCATTACTATCGTATGTGAACAATTGTTAAATAATTTTACTAGATCAAGTTTCTACTCACCACTTTCGTTTTTTTCCTCGAAAGTCGATCCAAGGACTTGAACCAGCTCCCATGACTGTTCTCCGATTTCCCATTTCTTTGAGGTTCTCTCGTAGGGCTGGGACTTGGACTCGATAGTCGTCTTCGGTTATTATAATCGTAACTCTGAAACAAAGGAAATACAACATTATTAAAAAACACCAAGCGAACACAATTCGTCAATACTGAAAAATATAACCACTTGCATGTTAAATGATTTAAATATCTTCTTTGAGAATGACAGAAATTGCCAGGTCATTCCAGTCAAATAATCTTTGTTGTTTTTACTTAGACAGATAGATAGATAAAATTCATTGACTAGGTACGTAATGCACTATTACATTTGTAGTAGGTCACAAATAACATTTAGAAATTGGTATTCATGACACACAATGGAGATAACTAAGGTTGAATAAGGTTACATTTAACACATGAGGTTAAAAATTCAACAAATATAGAAATGAATGAAAACTTTTTTAGCATTGAAACACCTACCCGACAATATAAATACGTAGTTGATACTTAATTGGATGAAGGCGGATAGGAGAGTTTTTTTTCATCGAAGTGAGATATCAGTTTCCGCAGATGAAAATTCTACTTGCTCAATTCAGGGATCTCATGAATGTGCTAAGACCAGGTCAAACTATCATCAATAATTATGCACAAAAGTTTTGCATGTCCACCTTTTGTGACTGTATAATCAGTGGAGAATGCTGTTATGATGACATGAATACTCTCACATCACGATTACCTCAGCTGAGTTGTGAATGTAGATGAGCAAGAGAAGCTCCAATAAAGTTTCACACTTGAAAAACTTTTGCAACTGTCATAGATGGGTATTTTTGAATACCTCCTTACCCAAGTTCGATAGGATGACCAGTGGATTAGTTGAGTAACCATTACCTAACGTATGACTTGTAAAAAACTCGAGTTTTTGAGTTTTTCACGATTGAAACATTGCAGGTTGTTTTATAGCAATATTCTTCTATATTTTGTAACTCTACTTCTTTCTATTCGGAAGCTTTCAAATCTATATATTTATTTATCGAAGTAGCGTTACCTGCAAATATAATAATTTTTGGCTATAGATAACAAAATACAGCATAATTTTCTGTAATGGTGTCGTATCAGCTTGTAAATAATAATAATGAAATTTGATACAATTCACTCAAACAGAAGTATTTTCAAAAATTAGGTAAGTACCTATCATCTCCGTAATTGCAAGCTTTCTACATCACGCGTGTCGCATCAGATTGTGAGGCGGCTTGAAATCATTTTGTCTAATTTTGCGATGAGTCCCAAAACAGGTAACTGAAATAATTAAGTTGATAGATAATAATTATTATCGTATCTGTTTGAACATTTTTCCACTTACCACACTAAATAAATAAAAAAAAATCATGTTCAACGGTTTTATTAAAAAAAAAAATAATAATGATGTAGATAATGTACTAAAAACTAAAAAATTATTCGGAAAGTCCTAAGTAGTAGTCATCACACCACTCTCCTTAGCAATCTACGGTATTTTGTTATTTTTCATCTGATCGATACCGTAGATTGCTGAGAAGAGTGATGTGATTACTGCTACCTTGTAGGTACATTCCGAAATATTTTTTAGTTTTTAGTGCATTATCTACATCTATGGAACGCCGTTTTACTTTTTATTGTCACAAATATTCATTCCTCAATTTATTCAACTAACAATGTATTTGTTTGAATTTAATTGATTCATGCATTTGTTCGACACATTAAAAACGATTGTTCCCAAAATTTGTTCTATTTTAAATGACACTTGATTCAAAATGTTACATGAATTAATTTGTTTGATGAAAAGTTGCGAACAGTTATAATATAGANGTCAAAATTATATGCGGAATTGAAACGTTTGTTGAATTTACTCGAATAATACATTCCATTGATTGTTGAATTAAAATGTTGGTTTATTGCTGAGTTGAACTATATGTATATAGATTATTTTTCAGCATAATATATAATAAATTGGCGTTCCATTTTCCAATACTCTGAAACAATATTTTTCTTCGGAATCAATAAAAGCTTCAAGTTATTTCATTACTCTTTTTTATTCAAATAACAATTTTATTCATGTAACATTTTAAATCAAGTGTCATTTAAAATAGAACAAATTTTGCGAACAATCGTTTTTAATGTGTCGAACAAATGCATGAGTCAATTAAATTCAAACAAATAAATTGTTAGTTGAATAAATTGAGGAATGAACATTTGTGACAATAAAAAGTAAAACGGCGTTCCATATACATCATTATTATCTTTTTTTTAATAAAACACTTTATCATAAACATTTCCTTCACTTGTTACATTTATATGGGACTGCAAGCCTGCTTATCGAGCTTTGCTGTGAGATACATGTAGATTTCGAATGATATATTCTCGTAAGGTCTCTCAAGGTCAAAAAACAAGAATATTACATGGAACTGTTTCGATTCAGGCGCATGTCGGATATCAATTAACATGTTGCTACCATATTTTTTATTGCCGCCATTGGAATTTCGTATAAGGTGATCAAGTATATAACATTTGAATTCGTAAACTGTTTTCACATAGATCGTGAAATTTGAAAGTTCATGAATGGATAAATATGCAAGTATAATCAGGAAATCAAAAATGTATTCATTCATACCTTGACTTTTAGGGAATTATTTTGAAACCACATATTTTTTGAATGATTCTGTTCAATCCTCATTATTACTTTCGGCTCCGCTACTGAGAACCTCGACATAGTGGGGTTCGTGAAAAGCGGTCTCTCCGTAATGAGCCCGTACACAGGGCGATATTTATGAAGTGGGCATGCTCGGCATTCGCCCCGTTCAGATGTACCATCGACGGTGGACATAAACTTCGCCTTCAGCAACCGACCGACCTTCAGAGGCCTTGAGGCCGATCCCAGCTCCCAGCGTTTCACACGTGACACCAGGTCTCGGTGTTTCAACTATTCCAAATTCCCTGTCGAAGGTATGTTTCAATATGCGCGGAATCGTATAAACGCTCTCGATAAGTGCGATATTTATTAAAGCTTTTCGAAAATTATGGTGGATTCATGCATCCAGTCTCAAGTTGTAAGCAGAAAGTTGTTGAACATCGAAAACAACATGGGAATTTGCAAACCACAGACACGTGTTTCTGGCTAATTATCTTTCGATACAGCCAATTTTAAAAGTTAGGTATCACTTGATTGCGAAGATGTACCAAAACAAACCTTGTGATTTTGAGTCACGGGTACAACTTCAGTAACCTGCGTGACATCCGGGTTCAAGATACAATAAAACTCAATGATGGATATGGAGTGTTATGATGTAACTCAATGGAAAAGAAGTATTAGACTGGCATTCACATGAAAGTGGACAAACCGCATACTTACTTATAGTACTCAAAGTCTTTCATGTGAAGGTTTGCAAGGACTGGAAAGAGTAGGGGACCCATGGGGACGCCTTTTACTTGTCTGTAAAATTTGCCCTGGAAAAGGAAATTAGGTTTTTGACATACAGTGGCTGATGATGTTAGGAGTGTTTTGGGAAACTTGATGTTTGAGGACGGATTAGGTTTCGGACAGGTATAGTTTCGTACTCTGGGATATTCCTGAAAAGGTATAATAATAATAATAATCTTTATTTTTCTTTTTGACATGATTGAACACGTATAGAAAT